AGTTACTTTCCATCTCAAAATGAGTCTTCCTTTCTTTTTTCTGAGCCTCTACTTTAATATACTTAACCAAGGTTCGAACATATTGTCAGGAGGGACCAGTCGCTGGAGAAGGATATCATGATTGATAAGGTGGAGTATCAGAGAAATCCAGGAAGACCACCAATGACATGGATTGGCCAAGTGGCAGCATCGATGGACTCAAGCGTGGCAACAGCGTGAGGTTGGCCCAGGATCGGGCAGTGTTTCATGCTGCTGTGCATAAGGTCACTATGAGTTGGCATTGACTCAATGGCACTTAACAACACCAACAACTTTACCAAGCATAATGTCCTTCTCCAGGGATTGGTCCCTGCTGATAATATGCCCAAAATGTAAGAGAGGAAGTCTCGCAATCCTGGGTTCTAAGGAGGATTCTGGCTGTACTTCTCCAAATACAGATTTCTTTGATCTTCTGGCTGTCCAGTCTTCTTCTTATTGTTTGGTGCCAGAGAGCCAGTCTGACCTATGGCCACTATTTTGTTGTTGTTGTTACGTGCTGTGAAGTCAATTCCAACCCATAGTGAACCTGTATTGGGCATTCCGAGGAGCAGCTGGTGAGTTTGAGCCGCCGACCTTGCAGGTCAAATGGCTTTGCAGTCTGGTGCATTAACACACAGCATCATATAGGTACAATAAAATTAAGCACTGCCTGGTGCTGCACCATCCTCACAATGGGTGCTACACTGCAGCCAATTGATGCTGTGACTCTGCCAAGCAAATTCCTTTGCATCTCCTTTTTTAAAAGGAAGTTTACAGTCACTGCACTTTACCAAGCATGATGTCCTTCTGTGGGAACAAGTCCCTTCTAATAATATGTCTGAAGTATGAGAGAAAAAGTCTGCCCACCTTGGCTTCTAAGTAACTTTGTTTTTGCTTCTTCCAACATTGATCTGTTTGTCTTCTGTCAAGATATGATACCTTTAATATTTTTCTCCAATACAATAACTCAAATGTATCAATTTATCTATGGTCACCCTTATTCATTATCCAACTTTCACATGCATTTCAGGTTACTGAAAACACCATGGTTTGGGTTAGGTGCACCCTAGTCCTGAAACTGACATCTTTGCTTTTGTTTGCTTTAAATAAGTCTTGCGTATTTGCCTAATTAAATATGTCATTTGATTTTTTGCTTGCTGCTTCTGTGAGTGTTGATAGTGGATCAGAGAATAATGAAATTTTTGACAGCTTTGAACTTTTCTCTATTTATCCTGATGTTATTTATTGGTCCAGTAGTGAGGATTTTGTTTCATTTCAGTTGAATTATGACGTACTCTTAAGGCTGTGGTCTTTGAACATTATTAATATTGATTTTAAGCCCTCTTCGATTTCACCAAAAAAACTTGTTATCATTAGCTGATGAATGCTGCCACTTTGCCAACCCATCTCGCTGGAGGTCTTCCTCTTTTGCTTGGTCCCTTCACCCTACCAATCATGATATCCTTCTCTAGTGACTGGTCCCTCCTGATAATATGTGCAAAGTATGAGAGACAGAGTCTGGCCATTCTGACTTCCAAGGAGCACTCTGGCTGTACTTCATCCAACACAGATCTATTTGTTCCTTTTTCAGTCCATTGCATTTTCAATATTTTCCTCTAAACCTTAACTCAAATGCATCAGTTCTTCTATGGTCTTCCTTATTCACTGTCCAACATTCACATGCATATAGGGTTATTGAAAATACCATGGCTTAATCCAAATGCACCTTAGTCCTCAAGCTAACATATTTGCCCTTCAATATTTTAAAAAGGTCCTGTGCAGTAGATTTGATTAATGAAATACATAATTTGATTTCTTA